TAAAGGTTACTTCGAATACCATAATATCTTCATGTAAAAGGTAATGTAAAAGTTCACAATAATACTTTGAAGAAACTTTGTAGCGGGCGTAAAATTAGATGAAGTATTGCTGAAACATGGAAAACTGTCTTACTTCCAAACAAAGAGAACGATTCGGACGTTCTCTCGTCCCCTGATCCCTTTTGAGGTTGACATTTAGTTCCCCAAATAACAGCTAGATGAAAGCGCGTTAACCACGAATAAACAGACGTCCCCGTCTTACCCCATGGCCACATCTTGCACCACTTTCTCCTATATATATATATATTTCTCCTCAAAATTGTATTCAAATTATGAATGTAAAGTATAATTTGAATAAAATCTTGGAGATATCTATTTTTATAAAATTAACTTTTATTAATTTAAAGTTAAGAATAAATTCATAAATATCAAATCAATAATTGTGTAAATGAAAATCGATAAAGGTTAAGTTTGTATATAAGAATTTTATTCATATGTCAAAGAGATCAGAATGGAGGCAGGACTTTAAAAATCTGATAAATATAATTAAATATATACTGTATAAAAGTTAGTACCTAATAGGGTCTCTGTTTATATGCAGCTTTCTTCATTCCAGGAATTCTCGAAAAAATGAAGCCATTTCCGGGAATACTGGGAAATCCAGGAATTAATGATTTTGTAAAAATTATGAGATTACAGTAATTTGCTGGAGGCAAATAAAACATTACATATAATTAAAATTAAGAATAAATATAAATATCATGCTCTTTTATTTTAAAAATAATAAAAATAAACCGGTTTTTAATCTAGTTTTTTTATGTATTTAGCTAATACAAAAAAATAAAAAATAATAAAAATAAAACAAGTTAAAACATTAGAAACAATGATATCGTTCCTCTATCTAAAAACGTTAAAAATTCAGTCAATATTTTAAAAATAGAAGTATCGATTATTTATATTTTTTTAAAGAAACTATCAAGAAGATAAATAAAAATGTTAAAAAACTGCTCCTTCTGATTCGACAGAAGTTGGAGGAATAGTTTTCAGTTTACCAAGTAAATTCATGATGTTTAAAGCTGCATTCTCTTTTGCCTCAAATTACTACAGTTCTTCGATTGTTTGTTTGGCATGGAAAAGTTGAACAGTGTATCTTTTTTTCATTGATGGCATTGCTGCTTCTACTATTGTCTGCTAATGTCACGGATTGTGCAATTTCCTGACTTATGTCATGTTCTGAATGTGAAGAGTAGACTGTTCCGTATTCATTGAAAAGTCTTGCAACATCATTACATATTCAGATAATGATTCCTATTTGGCAAAATAGTCTAGCCAGGAATAACTGCACAAATTTGTATTTTCTTCAGCGTTTAAATACTTAATGTGCAGTACCTTCTAGGATATATTTTTCCTCCTTGGAAAAATACATTAATAATGATTGTTTTCGCTTCATCAATAGAAGTGCTCTCTTCGCTGTCCTCAACTGCTTTGCGCCTATAAATTCGACTGTTTATTGATCAGGTCAATTTATATGTTGAATGCATCATTTATAAATGTCCAATTAACACATTTGTATTAATACGAGGTTAGATAGATTAACCTCGGCACAATAATTTAAAGATTTATTGTTTACAATTGCACTCTCTTCATTGGATTTTTTAATATAATAAAAATATATTAAAATGAAATACTATTTAAAAAACGAATCAGCAAGGTACCGTACATTATGAAGATAGATGAATCTTAGAATCGAGTCTGTGAGCAATGCGGGCAGCTAAATTTCCGAAGTTCATACAGTATCATACAGAGAGAATAAAAATTGTGATATTTTTGAATTAAAAAGTATAATCTGAAAATTATTGTTTTATGTATTGTGATGATTTAGTCAGTAACATTTGTATGTCTCTCTATTTTTGGTGCAGAAAGAAATAAAATTTCGGGATTTCCAGGGATACATCTAATTTTCGGAATTTTCAAATACAAAAAAAAATTCAGTCTCAAGGGAAAAAACCCTAGTATTAAGTATCTATTCCACTAGAGAATAGCAGAAGAAATCTGATTAGAAGCAAAATTTGATTTGTCATATTAATAGTTAATTATGTTTTAATTCTTGAAGAAAGAAAAAAAAAGAAAATTAAAAAACATTCTCATGGAAATTTAATCGAAACAAAACATAGTGGAATACTAACTAATTCGAAATTGCGTAAACTTTATTAATCGATAAAAATAACTATTTTAATAAGAATTTAACAGTAAATTGGAAAAGTCAGTAAAGTACATAATAGATTTTAATAATTTAACATAAAACTTAAAAAAAATGAAAAATAACGTTACGTGACTTAAAATATAATGTCATTGGTTTATTGGCCTACTTCAGAACTGTCCGTGTGCATACAATTAATATCATTTACATTAATATTTTAAAATTTGTTGTTGTTTAAAGTAAGTTTTAAACTTTTCATTTAGATAGTAGAGATCGATGAATAAATTTTTGATAAATTCTTAAATGATACAGCATTAAAGAAATTATTTACGAAAACGTGGAACAAGTATCTCTCTAAAGTTCGTTTTTGTCATCATTAAAATTACTGGCAGTTGAGTATTAGTTTTTGTAATTATTTTTCTCCTGAATTTTAATTCCACAAAATCTTACAATATTGCATATGCTGTTTGCATATAATGTAAATATTGATTTATCGAAAGCATTGTACGTCCCCAATATTACTTATGACTGAAAATTTCAAATTATAAATTTAGAAATGTTTAATATGAAATGGAATCTTTGGTTTGCTTTTAGTATAATTTTGCTTTTTTCAAAATATAGTGAATATCTTAAGTATATGATGTGAATATTGATTCTTAATAGAAAAAAAATAATGTTAATTTTGAAAATTTATAATTATAATGTAGTCACGATCATCTGATATAAATGAGATGGGCAATATATAAAATAATATGGAACTGAATAAATAATCATTTCCATTTACAAGTCAAATTTATTTGAATTAAAATATGCAATATAAAATGGAGCCCACCAGTGGCCGAGCGGTCTTCGTACCCTAAACACTGGGCGTTCGGTCGTGGGTTCGCGCCGCGATCGGACAGGCTGGCTGCTTGGAGTTTTCTGGGTTTTCTCCTTGCCGATAACGACTAAATAGGAGGCCAGTTCCCCATAAAAGTCCTCCCGGGAGGCATTCTTTCCCCTCGCGTACCATCGCGCCCCAGAGAAGGCAACGGGAAACCACTCTGGGTATCATCCTTCCCCAGTACACACCTTGGCGTATTATTAATCTGCGCCGGGTGTCGCCGACGTCAGTAATCTGATATGACACGAAGAAGAAGAATATAAAATGCATATAAACTTAATTTTAAAATATAATGGTTGAAATTAATACATTTTAAATAAAACACAAAAGTGATATAATGAAACTATTAATTTTATTTATTTGCTGTACGAACATTGGTGTACTGTACTGTGATCTAATCGTTCTAAACAATATTTTTTCAAATCATTTTTGCATAATATATTGATGTATGTTATTTAGACTTATTTAAAATCTTTAATCGTCTGATATCTTGTATGAGCTGTAATGCTGATATTTCAATTTAAAATTGCATGACGTTTGAGATATTTGCTTGCTTGCATTTGATCATTGTTGACTTATTCATCATTTTAAGAGGAAATAGGATTTTATGTTTGTTATAACAAACATAAAATCCTATTTTCTATGTTCATATTTGAAATGTGACAGTTATATTAAATGGATTGACTACAGTTCTAATCTAACCGTTATATATGATGAATTATAGTTTTAGCTTGCATTATCATAAAGATCATAGGTTTTATACAAATTTAAATCCAGAGCTCCTATATTGATAAAACAGCTCTTTATTGCACAATTGGAAAATTTAAACAGACATTACAAAACAATTATATTCGCTATCAACTTATTGATGAAAATAGTACTTATTTTAATTTTCGAACATTTAAATTATTAAAACATTTTATCTATTGTTCCATGTATACAATGTTATTTCCAGAAACACAAAATGAGCTTATAGTATATTAATTTTCTTAATGTTAAACTTTCAAATGAATAAAAAATAATTTCGAATTTTCTTCTCTGAACACTAATGCCCATTTTATCAATACTAGTCTGTTTTGATTATAATCTATTAATAGGACTCGTTATTGTATACTGATTTAATTTGGAGATAAAAGTGAATCCGCAAGTGGCAAGTGCGCAAGTGAATCCGCAAGTGAAATTATTGGCAAGAAATTATTGGAGATTGAATCCGCAAGTGAAATTAGTATAATAAGTCCTATTATAGTCACAATAGACTAATATTGATAAAACAATATTTAAAGGACTAGAAACATTAATTAACTAAACTCAATTGTTTTATACTTCATTAGATTATGTTCCTTAACCCAAATAACGTTTCTTTTGGGCCCTTCAGCGAGGTTCGTGCACAGGATTTTTAAAAGGATGGAGTTTTAAAAAACACATTATTTTACATAATTTAACATAATTTAGTGTATTAATTTTTATAATTTAGATATATAGAATAATACGATACAGTAAGACTAAGGGGGAACTGAATGGGAACAAAGTAAATAAAAGTTAGATACAATAAACTGTTTTAACATATTTTAATTTTTCCCAAGTGGGAGGAGTTAAACTTTCAAACCTCATCGTGTGCATGATCTCCTATCATTAAAAGTAGACATTATTGAAAAAAATTTTGTAATATTGAGACACTAGTATTCGAATGCAGTGTTATGAACATTTTTCAATAATTTTACGATGGGCTGAAAAGATCAAAAATATTTGATTCAAGGAAGATATGGTAACCATTTGCAAGAAAGCAGATAACGAAACGATAGTTTTTATGCATTTTGTAAAAAATTTATTTTGTTTTAGTAAAGTGAATTATTAAAATTAATACAGAATAAATTTTGTAAATAAATAAAACTTCTAAACACTGTATATTTTATTTCATTTCAGTCTTTGGAGAGCACTAGGCGTATGCTTATGCTATGTGAGGAAGTAAGTGAAATATTTGTTTATATACAGTATATTTCAAATTTTAAAATTTTTCGTCTAATATTGAATATTAATAAATTTTCATTATATTAAATAACTTTTCTTATTTATACCAACTGATTTTATTATTATTATTTCAATACAGAGCAAAGAAGCAGGAATTCGAACCTTGGTCGCACTGGATGACCAAGGAGGTGAGAGAAAAATTTTTCACATCTCATTCAACTGTTATGTAAATGAAGTTGAACAAATTACACATTGACAAATTCTTTTACTCCAACAGTTTTAGTATGCAATAAATATGCATAAATGACTTAACTCAATTTAAATATATGTGATAGTCTTCTGCAAAAATAATTCATTATTATAAACATTTTTCTTTCAAAAATTTTATAACATTGCTTTCTTTTAATTTTATTTAAATATAGTGTAGTCACCTTTTCAAAATTGCCGACCCGGACATTTTAAAATTAAAATGTTATACTTAGAAATAAAAAAATTAGGTTTTTTTTATTGAGTAAAAAATAAATATTTTTTTTATTAGAAGGTAAACACGTACAGTACTGTACATGATATATTATTAAAGTAATACAATAATCACATGTATTAATATCCGAAAATAATTAATAACAGTCCGATGTCGATATTACTTTAAAAAATAATACATAAAAGTAAGAATAATAAATAATAACATACCAACATTAATAATAAGTTACAAAAGATACATTATATCTGATACAATATATAATATAAATATGGAAATTTGAAAACTAACATCAGTAATAGTTACATATAATAATAAACTATATGAAAATAATTGAGAAAAATTACATAAAAATAAATATCATTATTTTTTATTTACCGCTTTAAAAGCGTATTTTTGGTTTGAATTCAAGGCATGCGCAATGTCATTTTATAGCCAAGAACAGTGCTGCCGTTTCTAGGGTAATTTCAACCTCTCAAGGTTTTGTTTAGAGTAATTCGCAAAATTTAACAGTGAGGTTTTTGGAGCCGTTGTTTATAATGTTTAAAAATGTTAATGTTGATTTATAAGTTGTAGACAATGAATGGCGTAAACAAGCCCTACTTAACTTGGGGTCAAAAAGTCATACTGTCAGATCCTATTTGCCAGAAATATTTAATTTAAAAAATGCTGCTGGAAAGTTTGTTTCAAAATCTTTAAAAATTGTTGAGTTTATTGATATTACCAGCTTCCAATGCATCTATTTCATATTATTGCGAATATTCAGTCAGCTACGTTTGTGTAAGTCATTCCTTGAAAACTGAAACGATTTGTAACTGAATGCATGCACAGTCCGATATTAAAAAAATTATTTGTTTTATTTGAACCTTCAACAAAACAAATGTTAAAACGCAAATATACGAGGGCCGTTCGAAAAGTTCGCGGCCTTGCCTATATGCGGCGCTGCGATCAATTTAATTTTTGGCGGGAATAATTCAGTCATCCTTGCTAAAGATACGATACCAATTTCCGCTTGATTTGTCGTAAAGTTTTGCCACGACAGCTTAGCAGATAGTCAATGTGCACATGCTTTGTCAAAAATGGAGAAGACGGAGACTCGTGCGGTCATAAAATACCTGACGAAAAAAGGGTTGACCGCATCTCAAATCAAAGCTGACATGGATGAAGTTTTGGGAGAGTCTGCTCCTTCGTAAACCACTGTGAAAAAATGGACAGCCCTTTTTAAATCTGGCAGAGAGAGTGTGAAACATGACCCTCGCAGCGGACGGCCGTCAACTGCTGTCACTGAAAAAAATATCGACAAAGTTTACGATTTGGTGTTAGCAGATCGCCGTTTGAAAACGCGTGAGATAGCTGAGACAACAGGCATCTCTGTCGACCGAGTGCACCACATCCTAACCGAAAATTTGGGTATGACGAAGGTCTCAGCAAGTTGGGTGCCGCATCTGCTGACCGCTGAGCAAAGACGTGTTCGCACTTTGATGTCAAAGAAGTGTTTGGACTTCTACAAGAAAAACCCACGGGATTTCTTGCGTCGGTTTGTGACTACTGACGAAACGTGGATCCATTACTACACTCCTGAAACAAAAGAACAGTCGAAGCAATGGAAACACCACAGTTCGCCACCACCAAAGAAGGCAAAGACAGTTCCATCAGCGGGTAAAGTGATGGCCTCGGTTTTTTGGGATGCTAAAGGCATCATCTTTATTGACTACCTAGAAAGAGGAAAGACCATTAATGCTGTCTATTACTGTGAACTTTTGGAAAAACTGAAGAAAGAAATCGAAGAAAAGAGGCCACACTTGAAGAAGAAAAAAGTTCTGTTCCACCACGATAATGCACCTGCACATTCCGCCAGAATCACTGAACAAAAGATAAACGAACTTCGCTTCCAATTAGTTCCACATCCACCGTACTCACCTGATTTGGCCCCCAGTGACTTCCACCTTTTTCCAAACCTAAAAAAATTCTTGGCTGGAAAGAGATTCCACTCAAATGACGAAGTCATCTCTGAAGTGAACGAGTATTTTGCACACCTTGACAAATAGACCTATTGTGATGGCATAAAAAAGCTAGAACATCGCTGGAATAAGTGCATTGCTAACAGAGGAGATTACATTGAAAAATAAAAAAAGTTTTAACATTATTTTGTTTGTTTTTCTATGTGAGACCGCGAACTTTCCGAACAGCCCTCGTATATGTAAATAAATGAATTTTTAAAACTGATCATTTAGGTATCAAAGAATGTTTGAAATCAAATTAATGGCTTATTTAATTTTCTATCTTCAGCTAAGATATACAACACATGTTGAAAGTGAATTAATTAAATTTAAGTTAAATAATTGCATTCATTAGACTTGTGGAAATATTTTATAATTATTTAAAGACCAGGTGAGATTTTTCTCGTTTGTCGAATTGGGATTACCAAACTAAAACATCACCATATCAGATGTAAATGAATACCTCTGATAACTAAAATATCTTAGGATTTTTAGGCTTTAACATTTTTAAAAACAGTGAATTAAGAATTGTTCTGATTATTATTTTACGATAATAGTACAGGGATCTGCGTCAAAGAATCGTTTTTCTTCTTATTATTTTTTATCCTAGCATGAGTTCGATAAAGGTCGTTTTCTCAATCTAGGGTAAAACGAAGGCGCCGTCAGGGTAGCTCCACTAGAAACAGGCAGCAGCACTGGCCAAGAACTGAACAATGCGCATGCCAGTTTTAAACCACTTACTAGGGGTACGTTCGTAAAGTCAAAGGAGTTAAACGCGTTAGTAACGAATCGTTCGAAAAGTAGTAGTCTTGCTCAGTGCGCATGCTCTGCTATGATGACGTTTCGAACGAAACTCTAACGAAGCTCACGAAGGAAAAAGTTACTTTACTGTATCATCCAACATCTGATGCTGAGAAAACGTTTTCGATCTAATATGATAGGCCATCTTCAGATGCAAGTATTCTCGAACGTATTTAACTTAATATTTAAACGTCAAAACGTTTGAATACTTTACGTTTAAATCAAAATAATGGATAAAATAACAAATAAATAATAAAATAAAACAAATATACTAAACGAACTAATACAATAACGATGTAAATAATGTAATAAAATAAAAAATAACGTAAAATAAAAATAAAATAAATGCACAAAAATGCCACTAAGTATAAATGCAGGTGCGGGCTAAGAATTTTTGCGTTTTAGTTTTTCTTTTATGTAGAACTTCCACGCGGAAGCTAGTCCATCCGCATCCCTGACGTTAATACAGCCATCTTTTAATTTGCTTTTATATATTTCGATTTTTTCTTCGTGCATTGCAAATGATGGCGAACGCATAGTCCTGAGGATAGCCGCTTCATTCCATTTAACCACAGAGTCCTCTGCTTGTGCCATACAGGATAATACTGTGTTACAGTGCCCTTTGTTAATATCGTATTTGTGTCCCTTAAGTCTGGTAGCAAAATTCCTTCTTGTGGTCCCAATATAGTCATTAATTTCTAATTCCTAATTTTCAAACGGAATTTTTTATACGCCTGCTTTTTCTTCTTTTTTAATGTCTTTATCATTTCTTAACCTTTCAGCAGTGGGATAGTCAGGTATGGTGCTACCCCAAAGTAATGGAGAATAAACGTGGGAAATTTTTAAAGTATTGCTCCACGCGTTTTTTCTCATTACCGTTTCAGAAAAAGATTTTGTAAACAGTTACGTCTAGTAAAGAAAAGTCTTTTTTTATTGTTACATAATTAATTTTTTATGTGAATATTTTTTCGTGGTAGTTTTTGGCGATACACCCAAAATAATTTAACGGATATATCCGTTACTCACTGTTGAGTTAAAATACTGTATATATTAGGCACTCTTTTGAAAATCATTTTTGAGTGTTTTCTGTCCGATACTTGTTTCATGATGTTCTTGATGTTTCGATTATATGTGAACTTGGAGATTTTAAAGTGATTTGCTTGGGTTCTTATTACATTGCCTCCTTCACATCTTTTAATTAGCCCTTCTATTGTACTCTTTTTATATCCCAAGTTTGAAGCTATTTCTTTAATTCTATTAAGTTCTTTGATCCTGTCCAGCAATGCAAATACGCTCTTCTGATGAGTGCTCGAAAGACAGACAGTTTGTATCCGTAGGGGGTCGTTCGAGTTAGCCGGAATGTATAATGGGCTATGTGTTGGTTTTACATATATACCTGTTGTTATACTATCTCCTGTCAATTGGATGTCTATATCCAAAAAATGTATCTGTTCATGACTTTTTTGCTCTAGTTTAAGTTTTAATCCATCTCTGTTGTTATTGTTGATTACATGTACAAACTCTTGTATTCTCTTGTCGTTTTTCCAAATAATGCAGACATCGTCTACATATCTTTTGTAAAATACAATATCCATCTTGAACCCATTGATAATGCTCTTCTCCAAGTTGCGTAGGACTAGTTCACACAATAATCCTGACATCGGGCTTCCCATAGGTACCCCTTTCTTTTGTCTGTAAGGTTGTTTATCGAAACTGAAAAAGGACTCATAACAAATCAATTTGGTTTATTCTATTATATCTTTCGTAAATGCAGCAATTTCCGGTTTTTTGTGGAGCATAAATTCCATTAATGCTTCATAGCAGGATTCTATTTTTAAAGATGGATATAGGTTTTCATAATCCATAATCGTCTCAACTTCTTCATCCAATAAACTTAATTCCTGTAGTTCTTTTACTACATTCGTTGGGTTTTGTGCAACGAGAGCATTGCTATCTAGCTCCTCTGAAATGAATTTATGTAAACGTTTTTCAAGATTGTATGTGGGTCCTCTGGACTTCTCAACCATAGGTCTAAACTCTTTACCTTCTTTATGTATTTTTGCAAATGCAAACAATCTTGGCAACCCTGACTTCGGGTTATGAGATCCTTTAAGGAAAGTTAAAACCGTGCTTAATGGTGCTTTTTCAAGTTTTTTAACCCTTCTGTTCATAACGATTTTTTCATTGACCTGCACACATTCCGTTCTCTTAATATAATCTTCTAAAGATTTGTAATTTTGCCTTTTCATGATTACTAGGTGTTTACTTTTGTCAGCTCGTGTTAGGACCAAATCATTGTCATTTAACAATTGTTTTGCGTGCTTTAGCTGTTTCATTTCAATGCTTTTTGTTCTACGTGTATGGTCTGTAAGAACAGTCCTCCATCTGAAGAAATCCCTTTCTAAATCATTGAATTCTGAGATTTCTCTTTTCAGTTCCGTCATTGAAATTTGCCTTAAGTTTTCTCCTTCCGGATCGAAGTTAGGCCCTTTTTGGAGAATTTCCTTGATTTCGGTTGGAATGTCTACTCGATCCCATAAAACAAATGGTGAAGAGTTTATGTTCTTCTCCTTTTTCTTTTCTTTTGATACTTGTTTTGTCACGATCCATGTCATTCTTCTGATATATCTTTTCTTTAAACCCCTGTACTCTGTGCGTCAATTTGACCACCCTTTCATTAATTTCATTGTCTTCCTGGATCATTTATGTATATTTCATTTTCTAATGTAATGATTTCTTGTAACATTCTATACTTTTTTGTCAATCTGATGGACGTGGACAATCCTCAAGGATGCGAATGGACTAGCTTCCTCATGGAAGTTCTACATAAAAGAAAAACTAAAACGCAAAAATTCTTAGCTCGCACCTGCCCTTATACTTAGTGGCATTTTTTTGGGTATTTATTTTATTTTTATTTTACGTTATTTTTTATTTTATTACATTATTTACATCGTTATTGTATTAGTTCGTTTAGTATATTTGTTTTATTTTATTATTTATTTGTTATTTTATCCATTATTTTGATTTAAACGTAAAAGTATTCGAACGTTCTGACGTTTAAATATTAATAAACGTTTTTTCAGCATCAGGTGTTGGATGATTTATTATTTAAGGAGCTGAGTAAGATATTTGGTTAGTTAGAGTTAGTTTACTTCGTTAATAAAATGGCGCCCGACGATATCGATGCTTCTAAATTACTCGAGTGTTTAAATTGTGAATTAAAAGATGAAATGATTGAAATAACTGTCCACTCGAAGCAATCTAAGAAAAATATTTCGGATAGAGCTGCACTAGCGACATTCATGTCTTCGATTTTAGAAACATCCATTTAGTTATAAACGAATCGTTCGAAAAGTTTAACAAAATAAGAATAACGATGACGTCATTCTCGTTTAACTCGTTCGACTTTACGAACGTACCAGTATGGGTTTGTTCCAACACAAGTCCCTATTTGCCAGAGATATTTGTTAGAATTGTAAAAGTACATTTTAGCCTAGGGATAAGATGGGGATAAGTTTGGCTGGGGCTGTGAAGTTTGTCTTTAACTGTTAAAATAAAATACTGGCAAATATTTTTATAAATTTATTTTGTTTTATCATAATTTCACAATTTATACGAAAACCGGACAAGTTAATAATTAATCCGGACCATGAATTTAAAAATCGGTTTGTCCGGGTGAAAACTGGCTTGGTGGTGACACTATTTAAACAATTAAAGTTGAGATTTTATATAATATCATTTAAATAATATTTTTGAGTGTAATCTATAAAAAGTAATTGAAATTATGTTGATTATAGAACAACTGGAAAGAATTGAAGAAGACATGGACAAGATTAATGCTGACATGAAAGAAGCTGAAGAAGCTTTACATGGAATGGAAAAATGCTGTGGAATTTGTGCTTGTCCATGTCAAAAGTAAACAATGAAAATTTTTCATTTTATTATTTGTTTTTTATACAATATTATGAAAATATAAGTTAAAATGTCTTAATGCTGTACTATATACTGTACTATATACATTATTACATTATCGGCTTATGTGAAGTGCTTTGATAGACCATTTTTGACATGTGGACAGAGAAAAAGACTGAAAGACAACCGAAGGAAGAAAGGGAGACTTTCCTTTTTTTATGAAGGTTCCAACGAATTATCCTATGAATCTTAACCTGTGTCTTATCTCGTATAATTTGTCACAAGTAAAAACAAAGTGAATAGGAATTTTATTTTTTTTTGTCTGTTTCTCATCCTGTACTTGGAAAGTATATCCTGTAAAGTACCACATCCTCTATGAATATATCTGATAACACAAATAAAGTTGATTCGTCTAAAGAGAAAGTGGAAGCATTCTCCCTGTAGTAATGAAATATCTCAGCATGGTATCTTTCTGTACGGGTAAACATGAAATGATTCTCCTAAAACATTTCTTACATTGTTTAAACATGTAGCAAAATTAGTTCAGTAAAGCAAATCTAACTATATAAAGCTGAAAAACCAGATTCTTTCTGTCACTGATGCCAAAAATGGCCACTAGGGGCGCCCCTAGCTATTATTTAAATTAACAATAAATTCAGTTTTTTTTTTGATGATATGAATGATATACATAAATAAATTCAGTATACAGTCGACCCCCCTATAAGATATAGATACGTTCCAATTTATTAGGAATCCGATTTCTTACAAGTCGTTCCAATCACAGCCCGACACGTGTCAAGTTTACGGACTACGGCTGATTGAAAGGTTTTCTTCCATAAAATTAATCGATTCTACACTAATCCGACTCAACATTTCCAAAATACCTATATTTTTTCGTAGTTTTATAGGAATCGTAATTATAGGGACCGTAATTATAGGGGGGTCGACTATACAGTGGAACCTCGGTATACGACCTTAATCCGTTTCCGATGTTTGGACTTACTGTATTGGACGTATACCAAACCAACCTTTCCCATAAGAAGTACTGTAAAAATGATTAATCCGTTCTCATGTAAAAAAAAATGGCTGGCTTTAAACACCTCGCTTTCCTGGCTAGTTCCTGCTTGATTTTTCGTGATATAAGCGTGTATCTTTTTAGCTTTCTCGCAAATAATTGCTTCCGATACGCTGTCTCCAGCACTGTTTTTCAGTTATCCAAAGCAAAAGCAATTTCTCGACGTGATCTAATGTCTTCGATCTGTGTTTAGAAATTGATTTAATCCCTTTCGCAACGTTAGCAGATTTAATAATGTCTTTATTTTTTGCGATTGTCCATATCGTCGTTCTCGGAATACGGTAAACAACAGTTAAAATCTCGAACACGCGTGCCACCTTCGTATTTCTCAACAATCTCTTTCATCAGTTCCATTGTAATTCTAGTCATTTTTTTAGTTTTCTGTCGCTTTACATTTGCCTTTTTGCGATTCGTGATTAATAAAAATAATAAAATTTTACTTACGAATTAAAATCAGAAGAAATTTAACAAAGTTATAAACCGTTGCAC